CACGCAAGTCAAACTAAAAAAACGTAATATCTACGAAAAGAAAAATTGAAAGAGAGCAAAAATATTGCAAAAAAAGACCTTCAATTTTACTCTACTATTGCATTTTTACGTATCTTGCTTAGTTTTTGAGATATGTCAAAAAAGTTAAAATTTTTAGAGCAGAGTTTATACCTTTTGTAGGGGCCAGTTAGACCTACTATAATATTTAATTGTAAAATTCTAAAATTAAGAAATTGGTGCTTATCAAGTTTTTCCCTTTTTTGAACATTTCACTTGTTTCTTTCATCGAGATCTACCAGCATTAAACATATTTGCACTTATTTAAGACTCACCCTGTATATTAATCCTAAATATATTTACCTGTAGTACTCCATACTCGTACCTCACTAGCATAGGGTAGAGCTGGTGGTGTATCCTTGGAGCATCAACAGCTTCTTTGATGTTTTCACCAAACCATAACGATCTAATGATAGTCTACAACAAAATGTATTATGTTTAGTTTCAAGGATTTTTTAATTGTTTATTAAAAATTACTTGTTCTTTTTACGTAAAGGTCCTAAAAGATACCAAACTTAAAAATTAAGATAGATTTGTTGACGAAATCTCGAAAGAAGAGGCGTTTTAAGCAGTCACTAAGTCAAAAAGTCACTAATAGATCGAAATAAATAGTAGGTTTAAACAGTAGGTTTAAGCACAGGTTTAAGCTTGATTTTCATGCATTCGTTATCCGATGATACGAATGATATGATATTAATTTTATTGGTTGAAGTTAAAGACTTCGACTGGTTAGAAAATTACGCAGTTTTTAAATTTATGTGCATTTTCATGCCTGCATTTCGGATATACGATTTGCTTGTGATAGGTGTGATTTTAAATTTTAATTTCCATAACGATTTTGCTGTTTTACTTATAGTCTAAGAGCTATCAATGTTTTCGAGAGAGAATTTTAAGAAAGCTGGTTCTTTAATATATCTTTTGCTATGCTCTTCTGAACAGAGTGCGGACCGTCGGGCTACCGGTAGACGTTGCGTTTATTGCTGCGCATCATATCTGTATTCAACATCTCTTTACTAATGCGCAACACAAATTCGCCCTGTACTTCAGGAACTAAGGAGGTTAGGACAAACATATGTGTAACATATTTAGTTTCATAAAAAAGTACATCATTGTATCTTTACTCATAAACGAGAAATCCCATAAAAGACACGAAAATGGGATACCCTGTACAGATGTGATGCACAGTAGTCTACCAGCAGCCTACGGCATGCACTTTGGTCAGGAGATCATAGCAAAATATATATTAAAGAACCAGATTTCTTAAAATTCTCGTTTTCGCGACGTTGCTAGCTCTTATACTATTATATTTTTTATTAAGGTTAGATTAAATTTGCCAAAAAAGTGTTAAAACGTCCGTTATTTATTGTACGATCTTTCTCCGTTGACGGGCTGGAGTAAAAAATACGGATGAAAAGTGGTGCGGAAACGCTATAACCAATCAGAGCGCCGCGCGCGCCGGCGGCTCCGTCGGACCATCGTATCAACAGATAATGGACGCATAAAAATTAAGCTTTAATGAAAGAGATCTCAAGAGACATTTGAATTAAAAATCTCGAACCGGAAACCTAATATAGAGTTTTTTCAAAACTCACGCTCTGTAAATATTTATTTACCAAATAGAATTTTAAAAATAATTTAAAACAATAATTAATACCATATCTGGTTTCTTACCCAAGCTACAGATGTCGTTATGACAGTTCCTCCTGAGCCTCCCACTACCATCTTTGTGTCCGAATTTTTATCGACAATAATTGTTGGGCTCATTGACGACAGAGGTCGCTTTCCTGGCTTCATCTCGTTGTTGGGAGAGCCAGGAATACCAAAGTAGTTCTTAAAGTATGGAAACGAGAAATCGTCCATCACACTGTTGAAGATTATGCCCGTTTGTTTCGAGGTCATACCTGCACCAAAGCTGAAACGAATTACAAGTTTTTAAATTTGAAATAATTGATCAACCAAAAAAATCTCTACAAAACCTAGAAATAAAATATAATTTGTAACTCTATTATAATGTTTTAAATTAAACAGGACATTCAGAAAGAAATTATTACATTCTAAATTATTAAGAATCTTACAGCCCATAGGTTGTGGCTATTCGAAAACAGATTTATAATAAAGTAGGCACTTACTAAAGATTAATAGAACTAGTGACCGAAACAGCATCGCCATTTTGGTCTACAATTGATATGTGGGCTGTTCCATGGTCCCCTTTATCGTAAAATACTGCTCCATAGTGTTTTGGGTCATCAAAAGTGGCATTGTCTACTATTTGTTTCCTTATGTTTTCAGCATATTCTTTAGACGTTAAATTAGCCAACAACTAAAAAAAACAAGTGCTTTGTTACTATTTTACACTAATCTACATCATTTGTATTAATAATGGCTTCACAGATTCAAAAAAAATCCTTGTCCGAAAAATCTGAAAATTTTTGGGCCAAGAAATGTTTTTCTTATAAAATATGACAAAATTCAAACAAATTCTAAAATGTGATAGCTGTTGATTCTACCTTTTAAATGAACTTTGAATCATCAAAAAATATTAAACTTTAGCCGAGTTATTAAACAATTTGTCCTATCAAATGATAGGCTTATGAAATCTATTTCTGGAGCGATAATACTTGGAGAGAAAATTCAGCGATTTCGAGGCCATAATATCTCAAAAACTACTAATTCTACGTAAAAATGACAAGGGCCATTTTTATAGGTAATTACTAAGGTTCAGAACCGGGAATTCTCGGTTCTTTCGGTACTTTCGGGACTCGGTAATAATAAATAAAAACATATTTTTTGTAACGTGCGAAAGACTTTTGATATTTTCTAGCGGTCGAAACCAAACTCTCCTATACAGGATATTTCAAAACAAATGCGAAAAACTTCAGGGGGTGATTCCTTGTTCAAAATAAAGGGTAGTTTGCTTCATAAACGTTGGGTCAAAAGTCAACCATTAGGGAGATATCGCAGTACAAAGATGGCGGAAAAATAATGTTTTTATTTTTTATCTTGAAAACGAAAGGAGATAGACTAATAAAATTTTATGGAAGCATTACTGTTATGAAAACACACTTTCTGGTAATTTTTTCACTTTTTTAAAATGAGTGGAAGGGGTTGAAATAACCTACCCCTATCATTCTTGTTAACGAAATTTAAAGAAAAATCTTATCAAACACATGCAAAAATTAATTTGGATAGTTTAGTTTGTTTAGAAACTTTTTATCTCTTGTGTTTTTTTGATAAAACTCACCGATTTGAAATTAAAAATAAAATGTAAAGCATTACATGTCAGGACAAAAACATTTTCCGATAAAGAATCTAGTGGGCTGCTGTAATTTTTTTAAGAAAAATCTAGTCGGCTGCTGTTACTTTTTAGGATGTTCTAATATTATTTTATTTGACATTACTCTACTGCAATACGTTATTATCTAGATGATTATTATTATCGTTACTATCACTAGATTCTTAATCTAAAAATGTTATTTGTCCTGACATGTAATGCTTTTACATTTTATTTTTTAATTTCAAATCGGTGAGTTTTATCAAAAAACACAAGAGATAAAAAAAAGTTTCTAAACAAACTAAACTATCCAAATTAAAGCATTTGCATGTGTTTGATAAGATTTTTCTTTAAATTTCGTTAACAAGAATGATAGGGGTAGTTTATTTCAACCCCTTCCACTCATTTTAAAAAGTAAAAAATTACCTGAAAGTGTGTGTTTCATAACAGTAATGCTTCCATAAAATTTCATTAGTCTATCTCTTTTCGTTTTCAAGATAAAAAATAAAACATTATTTTCTGCCATCTTTGTACCGCGATATTAATGGTTGACTTTTGACCCAACGTTTATAAAGCAAACTACCCTTTATTTTGAACAAGGAATCACCTAAAAGTTTTTCGCATTTGTTTTGAAACATCCTGTATGTATAAGTAGTGATGCTATCTCTTACTGTTCTTACCAAGTTCTTACTTCTTAGAGATATATAACAATCGATCTCTATAACAGTAGATTGTTTGTTTACAGGTGAATATATTATATTGACGTTTTAGTAATAAAGTCGTCAGAAGTTTAAATATTTAAATTGAATTTATTTCAAAAGGAATTTTGTAAAAGAGATAACAAATTCAGAAGTGGGATAATCGTCCGACGTTCTTTTATGAGAAGTATGAGCGAACAGGATAGTGAAATTAGCCCAAATCCTGTACTGGAATCAAATTTTGAAAAATTTTACCGAAGTCAAGTAGAGCTGCCTATTAGTAGTAATACACAGACACGATAGGGTGAGCCTGTGAATTTAAATACTGTATTAGATACGATGCAGGCTATAATCCAACAAAATGCCATTATACTGCAAATGATGAACGACCGTCAAAATCAACAACGGGATGTTCCAAATTATAATATTATGCCTGATTTTTCGAAATCCATTCCATTTTTCGACGGTATTGATTTGAAGAAAAGTAAATTTTGGTTAGAAAGTATAGAAAGTGCCGCACAACTCCATAACTGGCCTCCAGCATTTATGTTGGAAACTGCGCGTTCTCATTTAAGTGGAGCAGCATACCATTGGTATGATTATAGAAGAGAATACTTGAATTCTTGGAGACAATTCAGATAGTTTATGATTTATTATGTATCATCATTATGGTAATTATGTATCATCATTATGTTTACTATGTATCATCATTATGGTAATTATGTATCATCATTATGTTAATTATGTATCATCGTTATGTTAATTATGTATCATCATTATGGTAATTATGTATCATCATTATGCTAATTATGTATCATCATTATGCTAATTATGTATAATCGATATGTTAATTATGTATCATCATTATGGTAATTATGTATCATCATTATGCTAATTATGTATCATCGTTATGTTAATTATGTATCATCATTATGTTAATTATGTATTATGCTCCTATTGCTAGCTTATTGTATTATTATGAATTTCTTATGTTCTTTATGTCATTGTTATGTTTCTTATGTCATTATTATGTTTATAATTTTACTATAAATCTATTGTTATTTGTTATCGATCGGGGCGATCGAGTGTCAGGTTGGCCGATCTGTTAGAGATATATAACAATCGATCTCTATAACAGTAGATTGTTTGTTTACAGGTGAATATATTATATTGACGTTTTAGTAATAAAGTCGTCAGAAGTTTAAATATTTAAATTGAATTTATTTCAAAAGGAATTTTGTAAAGAGATAACACTTCTAAGTTATTTTGAAGTTTCTATAATGTTTATTAGCAAATATTGTAGTTTAAATATGTTATTTTATTATTTAGTATAATATTGATAAATGTATTAGTTATATTTTTTTTGTGTTATGTTTTGCATTTCTAATTGAAAATGTAAGTTTTTTTCAAATTTAGTTAAGTTGGTTCACAGGTTGGTTGATGCGTTGTTTGATGTAATTTTTAAGCCACCTATGATTTTTCGTTTTATTTTCGCTTGTGTTTATTTGTGTTCATGTTTAGTTTAGTTAATTTTCATTTGAAACTCAATTTTTTATCGGTTTTACTTTTGAGTTATTTTGATTGACGAACTCCAGCATTGAACGTCACTCCTCCAATCACTGAACGAAAATATTTTAGTACGGTTCCGGAAACTCTAATTAATATTCTTCTATAGTTCCGATTTTTTTGGCCATCACAAAACCGGGCCTCGAAATTAATTCCCGGTTCGTTCGAGACTCGGTAACAGTAATTAAAAAAATATTTTATTGTTACGTGAGAAACTCCTTTGAAACTTTCTACAAAATCAAACTCTTCCAAATAAGTAATGATGCTAAGTATTTCTTGTTGTTCTTGCTTCTTTTCTCTTTTGAAGTTTCTATAATATTTATTATGTTGTTTTAATAGATATTTGCATTTTTAATTCAATATTTTAGGGCTTTAGTCTCAAATTCAGTTAAATGTTGTTTGATGTAAAATTTAAGTTACCTATACTTTTTTCTTTACTTGTTTTCATGTTTGTGTTCATGTTAATTTTCTCATGACTGATTACTTAATAATTTGATATTATTTTCATTAAAAATCTCATTTTACTTTAAAAAAACATCCCTTGCTTTCTGATTGATGAACTGCACCACCATTCAACAAATATTAGTCAGTACCGAAAGTCCCGAAAAAACCGAGAAATTTCAGTTCCTAAGAGTCGCGGTACCGAAGTTCCCGGTTCCAAAAAACAACTCCGGTTACGGAAACCTTAGTAATTACCTAACCTTCATTTTTTATTTTTCTGTAAATGGTATATTTTGGCAGATATTTGCGAAAAACTGATTTTCGGTCATCTGGGGCCTTTTTGTCGACCAAAACTGGCCGAGCACGATGTTACAATTTTCTCCCCTAAAACTACTCCCCAAAAGGTCCACAGAAGTCATGGTCGGCGAATTACGTCGAGACTGGGGTCTTTTCGTGTCCGTATATACTGGACTAAAATACAATACTCACCTCACTAATATTGACAAAGTTCGTATCACCCAATTCGGTCCTTTTGGCGTAGGCGTACTTGAACGATTCGATTATTCTGTGGTAGGTTGTTATCGTTCTGTTCAGGTTGCTTACGCTCTTCCCGTTGAAGTTGTATCCGTCCAGGATGCCCATAATGAAGCCTAGAATTGCTCCAGACCCAGGAGGCGGAGCTGTATACAATGTATCGGAGTTTTTAAATTGTACTGAAACTGGATCCATCCATTGAGCCCTAAAATGATTATAAAAGATGAAAATATTGTTTCAATAATAACACTAGCTTAATACATCCTAGAACATACTTTAGGTTTGCACTTAAACAAAATTCTTAAGTTTTTTTATTCTAGGAGTTACAGATGCCCGACGCACTATTGCCGGACCCTGTATAACAATATTAAATAAATAAAAACGTGAGCTTGATAATGTCAGCAATAAGTTGATTAAATATTAGTGTACCTAAATAAAACGAAGGGAATGAACTAGAAAGTAAAATACAACAATTTCTTATTGATACTAATATTACAATTTCTCAGAAATATACGAATTTATAAAGTAGCTAATTAAAAACTTATTTTAAATGGTTCTTACTCATATTGTGCCAAGTCCTCAGCAGTAATTATTCCACCAATCTCTTTGATATCTTCCAAGAACATTTTTGATAGAGTTCCATTATACAAGGAATCACCTCCATTTAGTGCTATTAGTGTTAAGGTTTTACAAAGTTTTCTTGGTATTATTTTCGATCCAGCTGTTCTAAAATTGCCCTTATCATCCTTAAACCATTCTCTAAAATAAAAATATCCAATATAGTACATGTCCTAAAATGCTTCGATTAGGAGATACAGGGTGAAGAAGTTTCATTTTTATTTCGACTTCTTCAAAATCACTGTGAACTAATATAGATATTTGGATGAAAATGTCTGGCATTTTTGACATATGAAATCTGATTTTGATGTCCATATGACTCCTTCTTATAGGTATATAGACTAGGGCACTATAGATATGAGAAAGGACGCGGCAAGTGAAACAACAAAGATGACCACCTGGTAGTGACTAAGCTGTGATTTGAATTTAAAAAAAAATGGTTACAAATCCATAATGTAATTCTTTGGTCTTTTAATATTAATTTATAATTCTATACATTATATCACTAGCCTTATTTATTTCTATACATGATAAATTTGATTATTACGTTTTATTTTATGTTGATACATGAAAAATAAAACATTTATTTATTTATCACATCTATTTAGACAAATATTACTTATTAAAGATTAATGAACTATAAATAATATTTATTTTTCATTTATTATTCTGTCATAATATTATTACTGTTTGTTGTTTGCATGGGTTCTTATTACGTAATTTATTAACGAGTTTTTTAACCGATAATTACTGATTCATCCAGCGAATTTAAAGTGTTGACACATATTTATACAAAAACCAGTTGACAGAAGAGCTTTATAAGAAATGAGACTCTGGTACAGTGATATAATAATTTATAAATCGCTAATCAACTGATTAGAAATATTAACTATTAATTGTTACTTAAACATAATAAAATGAAAAAAAATGACGCATTTACAAATTAGATTTCTCCCAACCGCATCTAAGAGTGATAACTTTGATTGAAAGAATTGGGAAGATACGCAACATAATGGGCTAATTCGTGACAAGGCTGATTTGATACGCTTCAAGTACTGTACGGTGGAGCCGCCAATCGTTCTGCGGCTAACGCATAAAACACTTATTTTCTCTAATTTGGCCAGCTAAGGTATTTCGAAGACGATGTGAAAGTGAAAGCGACAGTGCTGCCGTATTAAAATGTGTATTATCTGTAATACGTTTGGCAAAAAATATCTTTGGATGAAAAATCCGCGTTTATATATGGAAAATTTATTCGTGTTTAACGTAGAATAAACAACAAAAATAAGAATTCTTTTACAGGTACTGAACATTTCGTATGATCGGAAAAAGTCGTTTAATTGGCTTGGAAATGACGATTATTGATATTTAATACCGTATGATCGAGAAAAAACGGCGTCAGCGATGGCTATGAAATGAAGATCGCTGTCATTTTATATGTAAATTTATATGGGAAATGTCATCGATCGTCATTTCCCAGTCAACTGGACGCAATTTTTTTCGATCATACGGTATAATATTTTACATATTTTGCATATGAAATAACAGCGATCTTCATTTCCAAGCCAACTATAACGCCGTTCTTTGTTTAATCATTTAATATTATATTAAATTGTTTAATGATAGAAAATTCCCATTATTAACGTACTGTACCCAAAATCCGTAAATCTACGGATTAATCCATAGTTCTGGCAACACTGTCTCCGGCAATCACTCACTCTGTCGACGAAAAGTAGAACTACAGTATTCCTTATCCGCTGCGCTATAAACGAGGCTATAAACGACTATCAGCGGGAAGCAGCGCTGAGCTAAACTAAATCTCGGACAGGCTGACGGTAATGCCAGCACATCTCGGACATGTTTTGCGCCACGAAGTCGCCCATAAAGTTGCGCATCTCCTTATATCTTCAATCAAAGATGATAACTAATATACCGTGCCTATGTAGTTTATTTAATTTCTTTAAGATTAACAACTGGACGAACCGCATGAACGCATAGTGATTAAGGGATTTTTTAGGCTGGACTCCAAAAAGAGCAAAATAATTTTAGTCAAAAACAGTTTTGACCAAAACTGTCAATCTGGTCATTCTGTGTACGCCCAGGCTTAAAATATAAATAATTTATTATCAGTATTAACCCTCAACTGGCGTGGTGGTGTCTAGCGGACCCCAAGCACTATTTAAACCTCTGTAAAATGTTTACGCTTAAGAATTGGGCCTCGCCGCCCCGTTTATGTTTAAGTTAGGGTACCAATATGCACCAATACCAAGGCGCACTTGATTTTATCAAGTATTGTTCCTACCAGCGCAGCGGGGGCTAAAGTTTCATTGGGGTCTCTGTGGCACCACCACGCCAAGAATGTTTCATTATTAGGATGGCGAACAGTCTAAAAAGTGTGCTTCACTGGGACGCTAATTTTGAGGAAGCATTAACTGAGTGGTTTGATGAACTTAAAGAGGCTTAAGTGAGATGAAGATCATCGAGGCATTGACTTTTCTCCGAAGAGTAACCATGACTCTGATTCTGAATCTCTTACTTATAGAAGAGAGAAAATTGAATAATCAATACCAGAAAAGAAAGAGATGTGGTATATGTCAACCATATGTCAACGAAGAAATGACAAAAAACAAAAATCTTATGAATCAAATGTCCACGATCCACGTGCGGCAAATGCAGATCCTATATTAGCATGAACTGTATTTGAAAAAGTTATGTATGTACAGGGTACAGGGTGGTCGAAATTGGTCTGTTTTAACAGAGAAAACCTATTTCCTGACTAGATAGAGCAAAACCGACATAGATATCATGGGCTCGATTTCTGAGAAACGTTTAATGGCGTAAACCGCCTGTTGATATTTTCACTGCTAACCGAGATACGGGGTCTTTTTGAATTTTTTACCATTTGGAAAATTGCCCATATCTTTTTTATTTTGCGGAGTAATAAATTTCTGTAAAAACGTTATTAAGGCACTTTTTAGGCACAATCCAGTGGCGTAGTCAGTTTTTTTTCTATGCTTGCTCTTTTTGTCAGAAATAATAAAAAATATAATTTTTTAAATGGAAATCATAGTTGGCTATGAACTTAAAAAAATGCTGGCGTTTTACCCTTTCCAATGATCTGAAGTTATGGACATCTATTTCTGAGAATGAGAGAAATATTAGGTTTTTGATCTTTATATCGAAGCGGGCCTTGATTTTGTGTTGACCTATTTGCCTAATTATTTTTTATCACAATTTAATATTCTATATTATTATTTATCTGCATAATTAAAGACTTTTCTAAAAGTAAATTAACATTCTATATTAGTATTAGTAATTACAATTGAAATCGATACAATAAACAAAGAATAAAACTAAACAAAAGATTAGTCAACGTTGGTCAACACAAAATCAAGGCCCCCTTCGATACAAAGATAGAAAACATAATATTTCTCTCATTTTTAGAAATAAATACACATAACTTTATATCGTTGGAAAGGGTGAAAGGCCAGCATTTTTTTAAGTTCATAGCCAACTATGATTTCCATTTAAAAAATTACATTTTTTATTATTTCTGACTAAAAAAGCAAGTATAGAAAAAAACTGACCACGCCACTGGATTGTGCTTAAAAAAGAACGTTTTTACAGAATTTTATTATTCCGGGAAATACAAAAGTTATGGGCAATTTTCCAAATGGTAAAAAATTCAAAAAGACTCCGTATCTCGGTTGGCAGTGAAAATATGAACAGGCGGTTTAGGCCATTAAACGTTTCGCAGAAATCGAGCACATGATATCTATGTCGGTTTTGCTCTATCTAGTCAGGAAATAGGGTTTCTCTGTTAAAACAGAGCAATTTCGACCACCCTGTACATTTAAGGTTTGCAGTTTTGTTGAAAAAAAAAAATATATTTATTACTTTAGCCTTACATTTCAGTTGTTTGTTACAATTTCACTTTTAATAATACTGTAAAATCATAAAATATATATGTTTTAAATTTCTATGGGTTTCTTAGTCAAGTTATATTTTTGTTGTAAAAAAATTCCTAAAAAATGCGTTTTACTTAATTTTTCTGTCCGTTCTTACTAAGTTGTTGAAAATTAATGAAATTGTTTGTTCACAAGTTTGAACATATTGTAAACAGTGTTAAAATAACAAGCTTTTTATGAAATCTCTTCATCATGTATTTTTAACGGAAAAAAAATTGCAGCACGCCATAAACGGTACAAAAATTCACCACGCCACACAGTAGGCAATATGTCCAAACCAAGTTGCAAAAAATAACATCCACAGTTAGCATTTATGGCAATAGCATTAGATTGGAAACATATTAGTTAAGAGGAAACCACATAAAACTAACAAAAAAACATATTCGGAGTCTCTTTCGAGGGGCTGTAAAACGAACTTTGCGCAAAACCTACATTTTCAGTTAATTTGTGTCCAATAACCGCCTTTTTTCTACAATTTTTTAAATGATAGGCGTTGCATTCAAGTGACATAGTATTATAACAATTGAATCGGACGACCTTAGCTTACTGTCAATCATAGATAAATGCAACAAGTTTAGATTGGAAAGCCCGTAAAAATTTTAGGTCGCGAAATTATTTTGGGTCGCGACCGTTATACGCGATCTGGCGCTGCTATAGCAGTCGCTGTTTAGGTCGCTAAGAACAACGGCAAACAAAAACAGAAATAATTTTCTCTTGTCAAAGTCAGAATCTTCAAAAATCATAATATGATCATAATAATCTTTCAAAATCTAAACCGCTCTCATTAGAGAAATTCCGAAAAGTGTTTATAGCGTCCATTTTCAAAGTAATTATTGCTATCTTGTGAGTTTATTTTAAGTTTTATTTACTCCAACCGGTAATAATTGTGAAAAAGTGGCATTAAAAACTTAAAAAGCTGTGCTGTGAACTGTGAACTGCAAAAACCTTCGTGGATCATGGCATAACGTCGGTTTCCAATGTTTCATAGGTATTTCATACATGTGTTCTTATATAAAATAAAGTTTCTTGTATGCAACACACTGTATTTTATTTATAAAATTAAACGAAAATAATTATAAATTTGAATAAACAATATTTGGCGATATAATTCCGGAAACAGCCGAACCGCTCCGAAATTTTCAAAAGTTTTGGGTCGCGACCGTTGCAAGAATAGCGCCAAATAGTGTTTACATTGTCCTTATGGGCACTTTCCAATCTAAACGTGTTTCATTTATCTATGCTGTCAATAATTATTGTAAAATTGTCATACGTAGATTCCCGGTTGCGGTAAATTTAATGTGAAGGTAAGTAAAAAAGTATCTTTTATTTTGATTTTTTGGATAAAAACTAGGTAAAGGTCAAAGTAGAACATAATCATTTAAGGTTTTTTTGATAGTGGCATATATTCTATCTTAGAAAAGTTAAGTCAAAAAAATCGCAAAAAATCGCAACATTAAATTTATTGGAAGCGTAAGCCTCCATGCGTATGTGTATAGTAAAATCCTTTATGTGGATAATTCTCATAAATTAATTGTTATAGTAGCTAGAGCTAGAGAAGAACTTGAAATATAAAGTTACGTAACTTTTACGATTTCCGAAGAAGTATGTCATAAATGTCAAATGACATTTTTTTGACAAATTGACGAATTTTGACAGTACCTAATATTTTAAATTAAATAAAATGGATTTTTCTTTCAGATTTAAAAATGTGCACTTCGTGACCATTGCTTCCAGCTGTTATAAAATAAAAATATCAGTAAATAGTAGGTGGTAAAATAAAATTTAGATATTTTTAATAGGTATAAGTTCTGTTATTTTCTAAATCGTCATTGTCTAATTCTCAGAATATTGTTACTTATTTAAAATATAATAATAAAATATTGTTCAGATATTGTCTGGTATTATTAGAGACCCAACTTATTCAAATGACAAACAATCTTGAATAGAAGTTCGATTGGATTAGTATACTAGGGTTTTCTTTTATACATTGACACCCCCTTTATCTTTTTTATTTGACGTTTCCGAAAACTGTCTCAAATGAAAGTGGTTTTGAATAAATTTGCCAAAAAAGTCTATTTCGCATATACAAAGTGGTTCAAATTAGGTATAGGCTATGCTACAAAAAAGTAGTTAGGATTTTTAGGAGAAAATAAAAATAAAATAAAAAATTGGGTACTAATTTGAAATAAGAAAATTGGGCCACACACAGGATTTCTAAGGCACCCTGTATATGCAAAGAAGACTGTTTTGAAAAATGTATTCGAGACCATTAAACTTTTATTCAAGACACTTTTTTCGAAAACGTCGAATATAAAAGATACAGAGGTCAATATATAAAACAAACCCTGTATATGGCGGAAGAGTAATAATTGCTCAATATTTGTCTGTTTCATCTTGGCTCTGCCAAAAATCGTAAAATTTTGTGAAATGTAAAATATTCTCACAGCATTTTGGTAGCTGTATTAGTCAAAAGATGATTTTTCCATTTATGAATCCCCTCCACCACCCCCAACATAAAATCGAACAAAAAAATAATTTTTGCAACATATTTCTGGATTTTTGCCCACTGTCCGCCAGTTGAGGGTTAAAAACATTAAATTAGCATACTTAAAATTTTCGTCATCGTAGTTGATTTTGTTCTTGAAAAGTGAAGTATATTGATGCATGGTCATGTTGTATCCGTTATTACAAAGATCTATCGTAGGTTGTATCAATTCCTCCCATTTCAATGTTCCAAATCGCTTGTGAAGTTCCCAGTAACCTTTCAGTTCCCCTGGAACAGCTATCGCCAGTGGACCTGTAAATAATATTATTATAATAACTCTTAGTATGTTTGGTGGCAATGAAAAAAAACTGTTTTAAAGTGCCAATTGGGCAATATTTTGTTTATCACTTTAGTAGTATTTGAATATCTGTGCAATTTATTCAATTTCATCGAGTTACCCAAGTTACTTAAGTAATAAAAACCGGAGACATACTGTATACTTATGAGTTTACCTTTGAATAAGAAGACTAAGGAAGGAGCATATCAAAAATCTTAGGTACACCGCGATGGGCCTCAAATATGGCCGACTTAAATTCCGGTTTATCAGTGTCGTTCTAATTTTATTTAAACAATGTAAAACTATGTGGGGTAGACGTGGGGTAGACTCAATAATTTGTTGTTTTATTTTACGTTGTGAATAAATGATGGTAGTTATTAAAATTGTTATAAAAATATATAAGTCTAATAAAAATAGATAAGTTATAATAAGTATTTATTACCACAAACATCCGATATGCTACTGAAGCAAGTAAGTCAAATTAACGGATCTAAATTTTTTGACATCTAATCTTTGACAAGTAATAAATAAAAGCTAAAATGCAAGAAAAATATATAATTTAGTTAATTTAAGTGAATTTCATAAGTGATCGGTTTACTACACGTATATTATATAGTCACTTACTAGCGAAAAGTTGTTCCATTATTTCACTCAATTTTTGCCGAGATCTACCGCACGCTACACAACCAACTATTTTAGAGTCTTTTTCGATAAATCGCGATAGTGTCACTATTAATTTAAGTTCTGCCACAATTTCCATCTAGATTTACTACCTTTATAAAACTATCAGTAGTAGAATAAATAATAAATAACATAAAATAAGCTCCGTAAAGACTGACAAATCCACAAAATTTCAAATCAAATTCAAATGTGTCAAATGCATCGTCAAACAGAACTGTTAAGGATCCCCACCCTAGAGTGCTTTTATGGCGCTTTTTCCGCCCACCATGCATGAATACATGGATAGCATTATGCTCCTTCCTTAGTCTTCTTATTCAAAGGAGTTTACGAACATTCACCATGTCTAATAAAATCTAATTAAAATTAATAGAATATCCTAGCAACAGCTTGCAGTAGTCAGTTGTATCCATAGAAAAAGCCTAATAATTAGCTTATAAAACTTTAAAACAATAAATTTTTTATGTCTAACCACAATAATTTCTCTTGACAAAGGACAAAGACTCAAAGGTCGATCAAAGGCTAAAATGACATTATTCGCAAATTTTGAAGTATAATTAGTGGAAAAAAGTTAAAGGTTTGTTAACTTTTTATACTAAAATTTCATTCAGAACCTCGCAATTAGTGGAATAAATTAGTGGTTTCAATTATACTTTATACTTTTAGTTTACGATCATTCACAATATTTAAAAAACACAATTAAAATTAATATATAACCCAGTAGTCAGTTGAATCCATAGAGAAAGTCTAATATTTAGCTTATAAAACAATAAACTTTTTATGTCTAACCAAATTTTGTCCTGACGAATGATAATCAAAGGTCAAAATAACACTCGTCGCAAATTTTGAAGTAATTATACTTCAAAAAGTGGAAAAGTTAAGAGTTTGTTAACTTTTTCGACTAAATTGAAAATTCTTACCACTAATTTTGACGTTGTGAATGCTTACATTCAAATTACAGGAACAAACTTCTACGGTAATTGAAACCACTAATTTATTCCACTAATTGCGAGATTCTGAATGAAGCTTAATTGAAAATTATACCAGTAATTCTCACGTTCTGAATGCTTAAGTTGAAATTAGAGAAACAAACTTCTACGGTAATGAAACCACTAATTTGTTCCACTAATTTCGAGATTCTGAATGAAGCTTAATTGAAAAATATACCAATAATTCTGACGTTCTGAATGCTTACATTGAAATTAGAGGAACACTACGCTAATTGAAACCACTAATCACTGATTTTGAGGTTCTGAATGAAGTTTAATTGAAAAGTATACCAGTAATTCTGACGTTCTGAATGCTTCCATTGAAATTAGAGGAACACTACGCTAATTGAAACCACTAATTTATTCCACTAATTTCGAGGTTCTGAATAAAGCTTAAAATATTAGCATCATGTCTAAAGTCTGTCCAACGGGAGGTTCCATGACAGAGAATGTTGGCTGTCATTCTAATTCACAATCATTTTTTGGATGTCATATCTGTCGAAATTTTCCCTGGTTTATTGCACAGACATTATCATGCTATTGAATAACATAATAAAGTAGTTTAACGCGGATGTTTACAAATATATTTGATAGAATTATCAAAAAGAGTAAAATTAATGAATATAATTAACATGGTCAGCAAATCTAGAAATTTGTTTGTTTAAGTTTTGTAGCGTTTCAACATGTTAATGCATTTTTTATCAACATAATACATTGTTGCTGTGCTTTGCATATCGTCTATTTATGTTCTAGTTACTATTACTTATTAGTGAACAACGTAAAAAATGTCAATATATCAATAATTTCGATAAAGCATGTCAATATCACTTGTTATTACTACGTGCTATTTTGGAGGTTTCTTTGTTTTGTGTACCTACTACTCATACACCACAAAATCGTTTAGATTACTTTGTATAAGCTTTCGTTATCTTAAAATATGCTTATCAAATTTGTTCCAATTTTATGATCATAATATTTACAATTTTAAAGTGTTTAAAATCGTGTCGATATTCTAGAAAAAATTAGAAATTTGTTTTTATGATCACAGGTAGATTGCGATTAGGTACATACAGTCATTCCAAAGTACGGAGAATTCTGTAAAGTTTGGTTATCTTTGTCCTTAAAAGTTTTTGTCTGTGCAAATCACTCAGTAGAGCCGTTAAAAGAAACACTAACGCCTGGTTGACACAGTCAAAGTGTACTTGGACCAAGTCAACGGGATGTCCATCTGTCATTTTAAATACATATTAATATGTATTCATAAATTAATTAATTAAATTTATACAGGATGAGTTTCCTACGATGTTCTCTATGGGTATCTAGGACATTACTGGAGATAGAGGGTCGGTTAAAGGAGGAAAGAATTGCAGTTTTGTGGGGTCATAAATACGCGCCTTTCGGATTTTTGAAAAAGTTCATAGCTTATTAGATATTTCGAAAAGAAAACAAATTTCGGCTATTTTAATATTTTAGCCATGACTTTTTTATTATTTTGGCCATGACCTCATAAAAAGCGCCATTTTTAAGCTTTTCTGAGTTATAGCTAATTTTTACTTTCTTGATTAATTTCACTTAGTTGGCATGGTATTCTTATTTTTTTGTAAACATTGTTGTTAATCATACTGCATAAAAAAATCTAAAATGGAAAGGTCAGGTGATCGAGGCAGCCCATGCAATTGGTCCACCTCTTCCTATCCCTGAATTTGCATAATTATGATATAAATAATTTTTAACATTTCTTTCATTATGGGGAGGGGGGGGGCGTCATAATGAAAGTCATGTTGGAACCACTCTATTGATGCACTAGTATCTAAATTTAACGTCTCCTCCCCTAACATGTCTTCAAAACCGTTCTTTAAAAAACTAAGGCCCGTATTTATAGTTGCGTCTCGAGACGCCAAGACGGTCTTGGGCTCTTGAGAGTCGAGTCGGTTCGGTCTTCGAGTTCCAACAACCGATATATAAGGGAAGCAGGAAATCCAATAGAAATGTTTTGCGAGGGGGAATTTAAATACTGATATAGGTTTAGCAAGGCTACAATTACAGAAGCTATTTTACCTCTTGTAATTGAAGACTTGCAAAAACCTACCAATCGTGGTTTACCTATTCCCCCCGTTATTCAATTATTAATTTGTTTACGGTTTTATGCGACTTCTAATTTTCTTTAACTTAATTAAAACATGGAGTATCGACTTTATATAGAGTGGTCAACTCAATAAGAATACAGAATTTACACCAAGCAATAAAATCTTGAAAATTATAGGTATACGGTGTATACATCCAATATTGTATATTATGTGATATGATATTTATGTAAATATTCATGATGAAAATAAAAAGACAATTTTTTTAGTTTTAATGTATTAGTGAGAAAATTCTGTGTGACCAGTTAAAACAAGCACTTAGCTGTCTGGTCATAGTGAGAGTAAAACTACTAAGAAATCATATATTATTTAAGTATAGGAAAACAGTATTTTTAAGATAACTAATAAAAGAATATAAGGAATTACTTACAATTATGTTACATGTAAATATATAAATACTAACTTAACACTAATAGAAAAGTAAATAAAATTATTATATAGGTACTAGTTACCTTGGAACATTACTTAACATATTACATAATTACTAGATATACATATATTAATACAATAAATACCTTAATTTGCAAAATGTTGAATAAGATTTCTTCAAAAATCTAACCCTCTTCCTTTTTATTTATAATTGGAATGTGTAAACTAGCATCTTCAAAATTATCTAAATTTTCCCTTAAACCAATATTATGAAGAACAGCTGTTGCACAAATAATAGCAACAGTTGTTTTGTAAACCTCGGAGACATGGAAGACGTTTTTTCCAAGTCCAAAGAGCCTTTCAACATTTTGCGTTCTTCTATGGGCAAAGTTATACCTGGTTTCTTGTTGATCCTACCTAGCTGTAGAACAGGAGTCAATAGAAATGGCCTACATCTATATGCATTGTCTCCAAGAAGTAAACCAGGAATATCACTCCTTTCATTAGCATTCTTAAATTACTTGGATCGAATATAACATTATCATGACTTGACCCTGGATATCCAACTATAATATCCATAATTTCCCTTTTGGGACCTGAACATTTAGACTAAAAAAACTTTTGCAATTTTGAAATACTTCCACATTATTGCATTATTTTTGATTATCTGGCTTATTGTAGGATGGCTAACACCACGCAAGTCTCCATTTACCATCTGAAAATTACAAGTCGTATAAAACTGTAAACAAATTAGTAATTGAATAAAGGGGAGAATGGGTAAACCACGATTGGTAG